TATCTATCTATCTATCTATCTATCTATCTATCTATCTATCTATCTATTTATAGTGAGGCATTGGGGTTAAGTGACTTGCCCAGAGTCACACAGCTAGTGAGTATTATATGTCTGAGGCCAGATTTGTACTCAGGTCCTCCTGACTCCAGGGCCAGTGCTTTATCTATTATGCCACCTAGCTTCCCCTAGAGGTGTCTTTTAACCAATTAAATTAATTTTACCAAGGGATTTTACTGAGATATTATAGCAAGAATAGAAGTACAAACTATTTTCTCAGGCTAGGGCACATTCCCCCTATACCACCTTGGTATCTGGGCTCAGTCTTAAAAAGTGTTTACTCCAAAGCCTTTACCCCATCATTTTCCTTTCTGATTGTAGCATTGTGGTTGTTTGTCTTTTGTTTTTGAAGAGGACCATGACATCAGGGAGGTGATGCCATGATATGCAAGTGAATTGGATTTAAGTGAGGGAGGGCTGTGCAAAGTCACCAGCTTCTCCTCCGGAGCCATCTGAGTCCAGTGGCCAGATATAGATCCCTTCAGATAATGGTATGTCAGTAGCTTGATCCAATGTATTGTTGGGCTGGATTGTGTAGGTCCCTCCTTGAGTCTGTGAAGGTGACAAACTCTAGTATGGACTTCTGATATTTCAAAATTTATAAAGTTACATCCATCTCCAATACTTCTTTACCCTTCTTAGCAACTGTAGGGCCGTATGTTTGTGGCTTCATACAGTTGCTTCATTTCATCCTAGACGCACTACTGAATACAACTGAGGACGGGTTTGGTCGAAACCCAAATGGGCAAGAATTCCCCAAGTCACCAAAGTAATGACCAGGTTTCCTGAAACACTAGAGTCCTGACTTCCTTTAACTGTGTGAACCAAGTAGAATTTACCCACTCAATGTATGCGGTTCTTCCACATAATTTACGCATGTAATACCCTCTTTTCACCATCCCCTGGCCCCTATTTGGACCTTGGCACCTTAGATCTTCTACTTGTTTTATAGAGATTCATCACCAGTACTTGTGCCAGCAACTGAGTGATTGAGGTCAGGACCTGGCAGGAGCAGCAAGGACAGGAGCACATTTAGGGGCCGGCAGAGCCACGGTGGTGTTCCATGAACAGGACTCTCAACTGTTCTAACAGGAGGCTTCCCCTATAATGGAGTGTGTTTGCCGTCCTGGAAGAGCCTTTGTATTCACATCTAGATCCCTCTTTCTCTTATAGGATGAATATGGGTTAGGGAATCTCTAGGCTGCACGGGGTTGGTGGAACGGGTTCCAAATTCTAAGTGCAGCTTTAGCAGGAAGTCCATGATGGATGTTTTCCAATGGAGGGCCCTCAGAGCCATGATGATTCCAGGGGCCAGTCAGTGCTTCTGGTCTCTCCTTTCTGCCCTTGTGGGTTTGTTTTCAGTAGAAAATCGTCCTTACTGTTCAGACCACAGCTTGAAGTTGAGGCCATGTATTCATATTCCCTCCTAAAGAGGCACACAAAATCTGGCTCTGGAGCCATGGTTATTGCTGAACCCGCAGACAACCTGTGAATTTACATGATGGTTATGTAGTTTTGGTGGTGAGTAGATGGTCAGCACAGCCATGCTCTGCCTTATCTAAATAAGATCCCATCTTCCCTGGGACAGAAAAACATGTGTTCTTTATCTGGCCTTAGGGCTTGGTTAGGTGGCTACCCAAATACCTACCTGGTATGATTTTAGCATCACCGGGAAGTTCCCTTTGGATCTCACCTTTCCTCCTCCTCCTCATGATTCCTGGAACTCTTACCATTAGAAATTTAATCCTTTCACTCAAAGCTTCCCCTCATTTATCCATTAGAAAAGGGTGGGAGTTGGGAGGCCTCCCACCCTCCCAGGAGGACAATGCATTAAGTTTTATAAATCACTTCTGCTTTAGTATGACTAGAGCATTAGATACTTTCCTAAGACCTAGTTCTACGACGAGTATGGGGAGGAGGCATGAGAAGAAGAGGATGGGGAGAGGCAGGGTAGGGAAGAGAATACGAGTACTACATTTGAGGGGGTAAAGAGGGGAACAAAGAAGGGAGGTTGGACGGTTGAATACCTATTTTGACTATTTAATAGTTTTGCTTCCTGAATTTGGGCTTTCCTCCCTCCCTAAAGTCCCATGTCTTCTGGTTTGTGCAATGCATACTTTGGGGCATGCTATTGGATGCTGAGCAAGGGATGCTTTAGGAGGCTGACACCATCTGGGTTTTCTTGTGCTTTAGCTCTCCAGCGCATTGAGGCTATGCAGGTCTACCGATCTCAGGACCACCTGGAGGTGAAGTGGCAGACCTCAGCTGCAGAAGTTGACAGATGGGTAATTGAGTGGTACCCAGATTTGGAGACAGAGAATTTGGAGAGATCCTGGGAATTTGTCTCACAGACCAGGAACTGGACAGGAAGGGCAGGTAACCAAAGCCTCGCTCATCAGCTTTCCTGCAGGCTGATACTTAATTATGATAACTTTTTAAAAATCTGCCAAAAAAAAAGTTTAAACACGGTTAGTTGCATTCAGCTGAGTTTGTGCAACAGCAAATAGTTGTACATACTGCCTGTTTTTACTTCTTAAGGGCTGAGCCAACAGGGAAGGGGGGAGAGTTCACTTGTGGATTTGGAATGTTTTCAGTAGAAAATCGTCCTTGCTGTTTCAGCTTGAAGTTGAGGCCACGTATTCATATTCCCTCCTAAAGAGGCACACAAAATCTGGCTCCTAGAGGCAAATCTTATTCCCCCTTCACTTGGAGGTTTTGCCCTCCCTATGCCAGAAATAGGAGAAAGGGTAGGGAATAAGCATTTGTTAAGTACCTACTATGTACAAAGCATCGTGCTAAGCATTTTACAAATATTATCTCATTTGATCCTCACAACAGCCCTGCATCATAGGTGCTATTATTATCCTCATTTTACAGTTGAGGAAACTGAGGCAAATAGAGGTTAAGTGACTTGCCCAAGGGTCACACAGCTAGTAAATATCTTTAGACCACATATGAACCTGTATCTTCCTGACTCCAGGCCTGGTGCCCTATCTATAGTGCCACCTAGCTGCCAACAGGGAGGGTAGAGCTTCCAACTCCCAGGACAATAGTTTCTGGGAATAGTGCTGCCGATCTGGGGCTCAACAGACATTTGCATTGAACCTGATCATCCAACTAAGGCCAATGAAATCTTTGATTTTGTCTAGGAGAGAGGAAGATGAAGACAGGAGCTCTTCAGCCTACCCCATGATTACTGTGCTGTTGATCAAAGGATTAGTTGTCTGTCCATAAGAGCTATCATCCTGTGTTAGAATTGTAGGGGCTTGAAGCAACTTAGAAGTGATCTAATTTGCCCCCCCCCCCATTTTACAGGTGAATGAACTGAGGCCTCAAAACCAAATCCATGATTAAGTGGGTCATTCTTGTTCTGAGTAGGTTCTTTTGTTCTGAGAACTCTTAACTCTCCCTTCTTAAATGGACAGCGGCATTAATTACTAAAGAAATAAGAAGCTTCTTTGTCACAGGTGCAAAGTTTCACCCATTTCCATTAGCGAAGCAATTTATCAGAAAATCAGCAGTGGGACAGAACATTTCCGGAAAGAATTGCAAAAGAGCTCAGAGCTCTTCTTTAAAGCAAGCTAACTCTCTGTCTAGGAGTGTATGTGTGTGTGTGTGTGTGTGTGTGTGTGTGTGTGTGTGTGTACAGGCATATAAATAGATATGTATGTATATGTGTACATGCATTCATATATAATTAGGGATAGGGACAAGACCTGTGATTTAATTGGCATAAGGAACCTCCAGATGGTTAGCAATGCAAGTTACCATTTTCTCTGTAATTTATAATCTTAGAGAGTTGTCTGGCTTCCTCACTGGGAGATTAAGTGATCTGTCCATGGTTATATAACGAGTACACATCATAAACAAACTTGAATTCATTGTTTCTTGATTCCAAGGCAGTCTCTCCATCTACTCTGTCAGGTTTCCTGTCCTAATAAATCTAGTAAGCACGAACAAAAACGAATAGTCAAATGAACAATAGTAAGAAGTAGGATCTTATTTAAAACTGTTATCATTTATTGGGAGTACAACCGAATGAATTAATGGACAACAACCAAGTAATAGATGCTTCAGGGTGAATTTGAAGATCCACTACCCTAGGCAGCCAGGTGGTGCATTGGGTAGCATGCTGGATCTGGAGTCATGATGATCTGGGTTCGAACCCTGCCTCAGATACTTTTACTAACTGAGTAACCTTAATTAAGGCAAGTCACTTAATTCTGTCTCAGTTTCCTCAGCTGTAAATATCATCTACCTCCCAGGGTTGTTGTGAAGGTAAAATGAGATAATATTTGTAAAGTTCTCTGTAAACTCATCTATAAATATAGCACTATATAAATGCTATAATAATAATATATAAATATAATCAATATAATCTGCATTATACAATTATTATTATAATAAAATGCTACATACTAATTAATATAATTTATTATTATTAATACTACCCTTAAAATCCATCACGTCCAATCCCCATAGCTAGCAGAGGAGGAAAATGAAGGAAAAAGAAGGTCTAAGTGATTTGCCCAAGGTCAGCCAGTCAGTAGCATAACTACTCTGTCTCTTGACTCCTGGTAAAGGATTCTCTCTCTTCAGCCATACTGTGGGCTTACATGTGTGTTTTTCTTTTTACAGACGACTTTTTGCCATTCTGGTGTTATAACATCTCAGTGTATCCAGTGGTGGGAGTTGATGTCGGCGTTCCCCATTCCAACCAGGCTTATTTCAAAGAAGGGAGTATGTATGAATAGTACACTATCCTTGGCATTTGTAGGGGTCAAAGTTCATCTGAGGTCCTTTCAGTAAGGGGACAAGGAATAGCTCATTCACACCTCTTTTGCTGCCTTGCCTTCCATACTATGAGCCTGGATTGAACAATCCATGTCAGACAGGACAATGTGCTCAGTCCTATGCTTTAGGATGGTTAATTTGGCTTCTGTGTGGAGGATGGGATGAGATGAGATAAGAGAGAAGTACAGGTATGGATTTTGACAGGAGAGATGCTCTTAGAGGTAGAAGGAACAGAGAAGGCAAGGATCAGAGGTAAGAAAACATAGGGCATTGTTGTGGAGCTGTGGATGGTTTAGTTTGGCCAAGCACATGTGTGGAGAAGGAGTAGAAGATGAGGCTGGAAAGGTTGTTTGGGGCCATATTATGGAGGATCTTGAATATCGGATTGGGTTTGAATTTTAGTAGGTAAAGATGAGCCTTTGAAACTTTTTGAGTAGGGAGTGGCATGATTGGACCTATTTTTTTAAGTTAAATTTTAAAAAAATTAGTTGTTTTGAAACCAGAGCATTATTATAGACAAAAATATACACATATTCACCCAAATATAACATTGATATATATGAATTTAAGAACAATCTTTTTTTAATAGTTGTAGTTATATTAAATAGTCAACCTCCAAATGACATGGAATGAAAAGCTATCAAAATATAAAGACTCAGAAAAAAGAAATTAAAACTGCATAGGCTCAAGAAGAACCTGTCATTCTTATCATCCCACCTGCTTCAGGGATTTCAGTGATCCTGCAGAAGATGAGTTTACATGCCCAGACTTTTATTTAATTATCCGCATATGACTACACATAAAATAATCATAGCAGGATGATAACTTGTCTCCAGACCATTTCTATCTGTGCTCTATTGAACAGGATGAGAAGAATGAGATGATGGTGATTGATGATGATGATGTTGATAATTATTAAAGGCTGACATTAAGTACATACCACTAGACTAATGGAATGTAACCAATCTTGTTTTATCTCTGGATGGAGCCTATGAAATGACCAAGGTCCAAGAGTGAAACACAAAGGCCTTCCATAGGTGACATCTATGTGAATTCAAATGACAATATACCAACATGGAAGAGTTACAAAATAGTCAAGTTTTGTGGGTCTGTTTACAGAAGCCGAAAATTGGGCAAGTCATAGCTACTAGAAATTACCTAAAGATTATATTTTTATTAGAAGCCTAGACTTACTCATAAGTGTTTTGTCTGTATAAATCATGTGATAACAGGATGAAGTATAGTGTCATTTTTATTATCCTATCTCCTACTGATGTTATCTCAAAGATGGTTTGAATGAGCATATATCCCAACATTCTTATTCAGTTTTTTAAAACAAAACAGTCATTGCATCCTTCTGTACAATAATCTGCTGAACATGAAGCCTAAAATAACAATAGTAGGACACAAGCATTTATATAGCACCTACTATGTGCCAGACACTGTGCCAAGCACTTTACAAATATTTGATCACATTCATTTGATCTTCACAATAACCCTGGGAGATAAGTGCTCTTATTATGCCCATTTTACAGATGAGGAAACAGAGGCAGACAGAGGTTAAGTGACTTGCCTAGGGTCACACAGCTAGTAAGTATCTGAGGTCAGATTTGAACTCAGGTCTTCCTGACTCCACGCTCTATTCATTGTGCCACCTAACTGCCAAGACCATTTCTATCTGAACTGTATCAACTATAAGATAAAAGAAAATAATAATGATGATGACAATCATCATTTTTACTATAACAACAATAATGATAGAAATTGTGTAATGTATCATTACAGGGTACTAAAAACAGCACTTTACATATATCTAGAAAGATAGCCACAATTCAAGTAGCCAGAATTATGTGCCATAAGCTCACTATTCTTCATAAATGAACCCAGGACAAATCCTTCTATTACAAATATAGCTCTTCCTTTTCAATATCCTTGAGACTTAAACAAATAAACTGTATTGGAATCAGAACATTATGACACACTAACTGTAGCCTACAATTGCCTAGATATGACATTGACCCATAAGAACCTGAGAATGGCATTTTTAATAGCTATTAACATATTGAACATTTCTGTCCTCCATACCATGGGAAGCAAAATGTTTTCAAAATATAGAGATCTAGCAGAAGAAATTAAAACCATGTGAGAATATGAAGAGACTGATATAATCTTTGTTATCCTGTCCCCTATGGGAATCATGCCAAAGTTGCTTTTAGTGAGTCTACAGAAGATGATCTTCATACTTTCATTCAATTACCAAAAAACAATTATTTAATTGATCTGTGCAATTGTCTGCTGAACATTAAACAAAAAAGGATGTCAGTTGGTCCCAAGACCATCTCCATCTGAATTGCACCAAACATTAAGATAAGAACAATGAAATGATAACAAGAACAATTATAAGAATTCATTATTAATTCATTCACTATTGAATGAGGTGCCCCAAAGCAATGGTGTCAAACTCAAATGGAAATGGGGCCACTAAACCATACATAAGGACTCCTGCTGGCCACATATTGACTTAGAAAACTACACGTTAACATTTGCTATGTTCTATTGTATTTTTATTTATTTTGTTCAATATTTCTCAATAACATTTCAATCTAGTTCCAACAGTACTTGTTCCATGTTACAGGCCTGTGGCCAGTGTGTCTGATACTTTTTCTCCAAAGCACAATAACATTTATATTGCCTTTGTTGATACAAAGCCTTTGACTCAGTCCCACATTCATGGTTTATTCATGTACTGCAAATATATAAAATAGAACCAACTATAGCAAGGATGTTAGGATATTTGATGGCCTCATGGAAAACTGGAATTTTCAGGGAAACAGTTTAAGTCCATTATGGTTCTGTTTAGCTTTAAATTTATTATCATCTCCACTAAATAGAACTAAATATAGCTTCCAGATTAAAGAATGAATCAAACAAAAACACCTTGCTGATTATGAATGATATTAAGTTCATGTAGCTCCACCAAAAACCATATTGAACACCTTATACATCTTATGGAATCTTTCTTCAATATTGCTGAAATGTCATTTGGGTTTAATAAATGTAAAATTATTTTTATATATACCAAGGAAAAATAGAGACTGGAGGCTTTGCACTTCAATCTGAAGGTCATATTGAATAAATAGATGAAGGCAATACTTCCAAATCCCTTGGTCTCCTCCACATAAAACACATTGAATGTGAAGGTACCAAGGAGAAAGGCATGGCTAAATATGTTAAGGGACTTACTGGCATCTTGAAATCCAAGCTGTATGAGAAGGACATTTTTAAAGCAATTACCACCAACATAGAACCGGGCTTAATGTGTACTTATGGAACTGTCAATTAGACTAAAACAGATTAGAAAAGTATTACTAAAATAATCCATATAATTTTAATAAAAAAAACACAGCCTATCCTTCTAAGGCATCTATAGAAAGAATAACACTTCCTCAAGAAGATGATTAGACACTCAGAGTGCATTAGAGATCTTTTCTCTTTGAACTTCATCAAAATGAGAAGAAATGGGATAATAATAGTAATATTATTAATAGTAACAATAATAGAAACTGTGCAATATATCACTACTAAAGGCCATAAAACTTTTATCGTTGTTCAGTCATCTCTGACTCTTTATGACCCCATATATAATTATAGGTTTGCTATTTCTTTCCCTTGTTCATTTTACAGATGAAGAAACTGAGGCAAACAGGGTTAAGTGACTTGCCCAGGGTCACACAGCTAGTAAGTGTCTGAGGCTGGATTTGAATTCAGGAAGATGAATCTTCCTGACTCCAGGCCCTGCACTCTGCACCCTGCACCGCCTAGTTGCCCATAAAAGTTTAGCACTTAACAAATGCCCTAGAAAGACATGATCAGGTAGCCAAAATTAAAGACCAAGAAGTTATCAGGCCCCAGACCTACAGAAATGCTTTTGGAACAAACAGACATCACCTGCCTGCATAGGTAAAGGTTGGTAAGAATCGCACATGATTGGATTTGTCAAATATAACCAAATGAAACAGAAGCTAAGATCCTGGAATGGAATCTCCATGGACAACATCTGCAGAAACTCAGCCAGCAGAATATTGATGAAGAAATGCCTGAAAAATGGATGAATCATACAGATGTGTGGTGAAAATGAAGAAGCTTTTCTTGGTAATTCAGGACCGGGTCATTGCCACCAGAATCTACAGAAAAAATTTTCCAAAAGGATCACAACACTTACCCAATAGCTAACAAGATGTGACCAAGTGGCTAGAGTTATAGATCAGAAGTTTACTATCTATCACAGATTGTCAGATAAAAAAATCACCATACTGAACATATCTATACCTCAAAATATCTTGGAGAACTCAACCCTGAACAGTTTTCAGAGACTCAGCTGTTGCCCACAATTGCCTAGGCATAATTTTGTTTTGTTCTTTGCTTTTTGGTGAGATAATTGGGGTTAAGTGACTTGCCCAGGGTCACACAGCTAGTAAGTGTCAAATGTCTGAGTCCAGATTTGAGCTCAGGTCCTCCTGACTCCAAGGCCGGAGCTCTAGCCATTGTGCCACCTAGCTGCCCCTTAGGCATAATTTTGATCCATAAAAACTCAACAATAATTTAAATACGTATTGCCATACTACATACTCATAATCTCCAAGTTGCATGGAATAAAAAAAAAAATCTTTCAAAATATAGAGACCTAGCAGAGGCTAAGAGGGGATGAGTGATTGCCCCATGGTCACGTAGCTAGACACGAACCTGGGTGCTGGAACCAAGTGTTTTTGACTTTAATTCTGGCACTACAGATTTAATCCAATCTGAGTTGAGTGTTTGTCAGAAACTTTCTTTTTCCTTGAGGGTGGGGTAGCAAATGTGGTAGAAAGTCAGGCTGATGGTGAATGAGTACTCATTGTTTGTCTTCCTGTCTTTTTAAAAGTCCCATTAGAAGGTCCATTGGCTAAGGCTCAAAATATCACTGCCCAGACAGCTACAATAAAATGGGAAGAGATTCCCAAGATCCAGAGAAGGGGCTTCATCACTAACTACACCGTGTTTTATATATCTGACCGTGGAAAAGAATTTGGTAAGTGTACATGTGGCTCAACTGAAAAAAAAATCTTTTTATTCCACCCAAGTAGTATGATTAAGTCAACAATGGTGGCTACATTGATCTCTGTTCTTTGCAATGGGCTTTCTTACTGGAGGTCTGTTTCCTGGATGACGTACAAACCTCCTCCTTTAGCTAATTCATTTCCATTTAGACTCAGTGAATATTGAATTATGTGCTCAGTGCTGTGCTAGACGTTATAGGGACTACAAAGGTGAAAACTGACACTGATCTTACCCTCAAGGAGCTTGTATCAGAGTAGATAGGCTATGACATTTACAAGATTAAGCAAAATCCGAGGCAGAATGCAGGATTCCTAGGTGCCTTTGAAGAGAGCTGAGAAGGAAATATTTGTCTTTTGATGAACAGAATTAAAGCTGAATTGGGTGAGGGGAGTGGTACTTGGGGCAAAATATTGATCATTTTCTCCTTACCTTTGTGTGTATAATGGGAAGAAGTATATAAAACTCAAAATCCTGAAAGAAGTTTTAAAACTGTACAACTAGTTGGGGTTTTATTTTGGATTTTACCTGTGAATTCGCTGGTATAGGGTACCCCTGGTCAAGAAACTCCCTCTACCAATATAGATCAGCAACTGTTCTACAATTTCTGGTCTTAGGGAATTGTCCAGGGTCACAGAACCAGTCTGTATCAATCTGGACTTGAACCCAGGCCTTCCTGACTCTGAGGCCGGCTCTCTGTTCATTATGCCTCTCAACCTGTAAAAATGAATGTACAGAATTAAATTGCACAGTCATCTGATTGAGATTTTAAAGTCTGACTATTTCATCACCATCAGTGAGGGGATCTCCCCCATTTCCCCAAGGCACCACTGGGTCTACCATTATGGATCCAACACAGCGATTAACAAGAGGACTAAGATGATGTATTTTGACCTCCTTGGTTTTCTAGCCCTTGCTGAAACCCTGATACAGCCAATAACACTGTGTTCTTAGTAAAGTTGGTTATATGAGGAAGGGGTGGTAGGAAGACATTTCCACCACTGTTTCCATAGCTCTGCTTCTAGGGAAAGGAATAGTTAGCCAGGTAATGCCATCTATCCATATAGTAGCTGATAAATTTCCATTCCCCAAAGCAGTCTCCTCTACTCTACCCAGGTTCCTCCCTGATTCAGCTGACAGACACTTCCTTGGAGGCAGTGTGGTATAATGGAAAGAATGCTGGGTCTAGAGTCCAAAGATCTGGATTCCAACCCTGCCTTGCAATCCTGATGCTTAATGGCTGTGTGACTTTGGGGAAGTTATGTAGCCTCCCTGAGCTTCCATTTCTTCCTCTGCCAAATGTGGAGACTGCACTAGATGACCTCCAAGATTCTTCCTGGCTTTAGATCGATGATCCTTTTGTTCTCTGCCCAACAAGGCATTGTCCTTAATAGATGGAAATAGAACAAATATTGTTTGCCTAAACTTTTATTTCTCCCTCTATCTCCAATCCATTTCCTGGGGGGTGGGTCTAGAGGGGCAAGCCCTGGCCTCAGGACAGTGACTGGACTCTAACAGGCAGGAACAGCTCTGGGGATAACTAGAACCTGCAGGTATACTTTTGAGTAAACTTGGAGTCTTCTTTGGCCAAGTACCTTCAAGTCACTTGTTTCATTTGCATACAAGTCTGGAATGTACTGGAATAGTCTAATGGAATACAAGTTCCTTGAGGGCAGGGTCTTAAATTTTTGTCTTTGTATCACCAGTGCTTACTATCCTCAGGGCTTATTCTGCCTTGTACAGAAGATATGCCTAATAAATAAAAGCTTTTTGAATGGAATAGAATTATACAGCTCCCACACCAACTTGGTCTCATGAGGACTGATGAATGCTTCCCCCCTTTTCCCTTTCTTTCCCCTACAGAATTGAGTTTGAAGCTGACTGAAGTGGTGGTGGTGGTGGGTGGGTTGGGGGAGGAATCATTTGTCTTTGCTGTCAAATCTTTTCCAGAATAGCAGAATCTCAGAATTGGAAGCTGTCTAACTTAGCCCAAACATCTCTGATAATTGGTCCTCTAGCATTTTTTCCAGTGAAAAGGAACCCAGTGTCTCCCGAGGCAGCCCACTGTACTTTTGGACAGCTCTAATTATTAGAATTTTTTCCCTTCACCTCAAGCCTAAGTCTACAACTTCTACTGACCACTTGGCCCTCTGGGCATAAGCAGAACAACAGCAATAATAATAATTAATATTTATACAGTGCTTGCTATTTGCAAAGTATTGTGGTCAGTGCTTTATGATTATTACCTCATTTGTTCCTCATAACAACCTTGGGGAGTGGGTGCTATTGTTTTCCCAATTTTTATTATCCTTATTTACAGATGAGAAAACCGAGGTAGAGGTTAAGTGACTTACCTAGGGTCACACAGCTAGTAAGTATCTAAGGCTAGGTTTGAATTGGGGTCTTCTATACTCCAGCCCACACTCTATCCACTGAGCCATCTAGTTGTCTTCTTTTCTTTTCAGGAATTCTCTTTTCTTGTCTTCACTCTAGTCTCTCCCTACTCCAAAATCTCCAGGGCCAAGTTGGAAATCTGGGAAGTTGGGGCATACAGAAGTGGGAAGAGGTGACCTGATTTAGAATCCAGAGTCTCCATGCTCCCGGTTTAGTCACCAGCATGTTCAATTATCAAGATCCCTGGAAGAGTGTTGGATGGGAATTTAAATTACTTGGGTCTGTCTTTTAAAAATTCATCATATCTTTTCTTATAGCTAGGACAGTCAATTCTAGTATTTTGCAATGTGAATTGGAGTTCCTGCAAAGGAACACTCAGTATACCGTCAAGGTCATGGCCAACACCTTGGCCGGAGGCAAGAATGGAACAAGTTTCAATTTCAAGACTTTATCGATTGGTGAGTAATTGTCAAAGGCAGTGCTTCTTGATGGTGACAGCATTTCTTCCCAACAATATTTGCTTAGCCTGGGATTTCTTTAAGTGTATCCTGTGATGACTACCTCTGAAAGCAAGGAAAAAAAGGAAAGAAAACAAAGGATAAGGGTTTTTTTTTTTAATATGGAAAGAGCTGTACTGCATCCCATATACTGATATTCCAGAATGGGATGCAGAAAAATGGCATGCAGCTATGGAACTGGAATATTTAGAATTGAGTTAATAGCCATTCTACTGTGTCCTGGGCTCAAAGGCTAGACTCTCTTTATGCCCCAAATCAGAGTGAGTAAGAGTGGCCATTCTTTTTTTTTTTTTTGGTGAGGCAATCAGGATTAAGTGACTTGCCCAGGGTCACACAGCTAGTAAGTATCAAGTGTCTGAGATCAGATTTGAACTCCCTCCTGACTCCAAGGCCAGAGCTCTATCCATTGCACCATCTAGCTGCCCCAAGAATGGCCATTCTTAACATCAATCTCAACAACAAACCCAAACTTCAAGATTATTGCCATGTCACTAACATAGATTCTAACGTCAGAAGAGATGAGGAACCCTTTGCTTATCATAGAATCAAGAACTGGAAAGGGCTTTAGAGATCATCTAGTCTGACTCCCTCACTTTATAAATGAGATAACTGAAGCCTAGAAGAGGAAAAGTGATTTCCCTACAATTAGAGCTAGAAGTAATGGAGGCAGGCCTTAAATCCTGATCACCTAACTTCAATCCATCATACCTGACATTATGCAACCTGAGTCACAGAATGCAACTTAATTTAAGTTATGATTGATTTTTTTTGAGAAAACCATATAAAATGGTCCATCAGTTCTACAAATAAGAATAGAGAATGTAAAACTCTATTCAATAAAAATAATAAATCGTTGAGAACAAATATACTTCATTTTCATCTTCTTGTTGATGACAAGGAGAAGAAAGGATAAAGGAGAGAGAGAGAGAGAGAGAGAGAGAGAGAGAGAGAGAGAGAGAACATCATTGTATACTATGTTCTTAAGAGACAAAGTTCTAATTCATTTATTAATGTTGAACCTTAAAAATGCAACCACTCAGATGAAAAGGAATGGGTAAATATTGCTGGACTTTATTACCTTAAAGTGTTTTAAATTTCTGCCCAAAGCTTGGAAATACTAAAACTCTCATTTTCTCATTTTCATTGAGGAAAAATTTTTTAGCCTTCTACTCTGCAATTAAGAAAGGTTGCATCTATTTTTACTTGGGGAAAATGTTTCCTATTTGCATGGATCAACATGCCCTGTCTTGTGGCAATTTAGGGAATTTCTGTATTGCTGCTTATGTCTGTTTTTAAAAAATTGTGATCCTAACACACATCACCAAACATGATCATTTCCATAAACAAAGAATAAACAGAAAAAGAGAGCTGTATGTGAAAACTGAATTTCACTTATTTATTGCTGGCTTTTAAAAAAAAGAATATAATACATTTAACATTGTCCTACTTCTCTGTTTGCTAAAGACTTTTACAGTTAGTTTGTATTTGTTCAACTATAGGCAAAAATGGAAATCCCTTTTTGGTGTTTGTATTGAGTGCCAGCTGAAATTAAGCTGAAGAACAAATCCAGTCTAGGCTTAGATTTGACTAACTTAGCTAGATTTGGTTGATATTGATACATGTCATGAAAGATGGTTAACAAGGAACATATGTTAGTTTAACTAATGGATTACCCCCAGTGGACCAACCCTTCTGGGAAGACTGACTTTACTAAAGAATTAGCAAGGAAACCCTTTTTGTGGTTAAATATTGTTCCCCTTTTCTTACAGGTATAATTGAGATTGTGCTTTTAGCCTGTATCATTGGAGGTAGTCTTTTTTTCCTTGGTATCCTGGTAATGGTGTATAGTCTCACCAAACCCAAGTAAGTATTTATGTGTGTTTAGCAAATGGAGAAGAGGGAGTGGTATAAGGAAATTATTTGTCATCATTTTAATTCAGAAGTTTTACCAGAAGCTTAACTGGACAAGAAGAAATTGGTTAAGCCACAGCCTTTTTTGTGCTTTAATAATTTCAGTTTTCTTTTCTTTCTTTCCTTTTTTTTGTACTATTTTGCTCTTGAAAATCACTAATAGAAACGAATATTTCAGTTAATAAGCATTTATTTTCTCTTCCCACTCCCTCCTCCATTAAAAAAAGAACAAATATGCAGAGCAAAACCAAAATTTTAAACAAATATGCATAGTAAAACCAAACAAATTCCTCCATTGTCTATGTCCAAGTATCAGTGTCTCAGTCTGCATCTTGAGTCCATCACCTCCTCTGTCAGGAAGTGAGTAGCAAACCTTATCACTGAAAATTATTAAACTAGGCATACCCTCCGACTCAGAGCTACCACTTTTAGGCCTATACCCCAAAGAAATCAAAGAAAATGGGAAACGACTGATAGGTACAAAAATTTTTGTAGCTGCTCTTTTTGTGGTGACAAAAAACTAGAAACTAAGGGGGTACCCAAAGTGAAAATGGCTGAACAAATGATAGTATGTTAATGTAATGGAATATAAACCTTTCTGTATACAAAGAAGAACAGAAAGAAGGCTGTGTATGAAATGGCAAGATTTTATTATGTTCAAAATTTTATTATGTATTGGGTTTTTTTTGAGGTACATAACATATTTGACATGTTAGTTTCAAAGCTGTCCTATTGCCTAACACAGCCTTCTCTAAGGGCCAAGAAAGGCCTTGGTGGTCTACTCTCTGCAGCGCTGATTGCTTGGGGTGATGCAGAAAAGGTCAGAGATGCCCTCAGATCTCTAAAGATGAGTATTTCATAGCACCAAAGGACCACGGAAGCGTTGACCCACTTTCCTAAAGCACTAATATAAATTAAAGTGGGATACAGAGACAAGAAAGGGTGGGATGTTTTCAAAGGATACTGAGAAGTTCAATTTGAGACTTGAAAAGCTCATTTACTTGAAAGTATTCATAGATTATAGAGTTAATGTGTCACCCAGATTAGATTGGAGGGTTATTTGCTTTGCCTTTCTTCAAGTCATATCACATACATCCCTGATGGTGCTGCTCAACCCTGACGCTGGCTGGCTCAGAGGGCCCAGTTCTGTTCAGCTGGATCCATATGGTAACTAACCCAGTACAACAAATGATGGCATACCAATGAATGAGAGTTCCCCTGTCTTTAGTTATTATAGGAATTCTGCCTACTTTGGTTGAGTGGATTAAATAAACTTGGACAAGTTTCTAATTTCTCCATTTCTCATGTTTTCTTATCTCCAGTGGGGAGGGTGAATCAGATAATGTCATATCTACGGACTCCATCTGGCAAGATTTGCATTTAGAGCAAGAATTTGCTAGGGAAACTAGATGCAGTTGGTTGAAAATAGTGTGTTGGTCATTATCTTAAACCACACAAATTCTTAATGGATTAATAATATAAATGTTTAAAAAAGCACATGATGAAAAAGAAAGAAGATAGTAAAAGGTCTTCTCTTGCGTAATTGTGGAGAGGGGAAAATGCTTAACCAGCTATGACTTAGAGGAAATTAATAAGGACAAAATGAATGATTTTGATTATATAACATTTTAAAAAAACTTGTGAAGAAAAAACAATGCATCCCGAATCAGAAGAAAAAGAAACAGATTGGGTAAGGATATCTTTGCCTTAAATATTTCTGATAAAAATCTGATATCTGTAATTTAATGAATTGTGACACATTTATAGGAACCTCTGCCCAGTGATAACTGGTCAGAGAAACAGGAAGTTTTTACAAGAAGAAACTATCAACAATTACTCTAAAAAGTGTTCAAATTCTCTAATTATTAGCTAAATGAAAACTAAAGCGACTCTGTGATGCTACCTTATAGCCATCACATTGGCAAAGATAGAGAAGGATGATAAAATCCACACTGATATAGTTGTGGGAAAACTGGCATACTAATATCCTGTGGAACTATAAACTGATTGAATTATTTAGGGAAAGCAATATGGGATTATACAATAAGAAAAACAAAAATGTTTATATCTTTTGATCCAGATCTCAACACAAGACTTATACCCTAAACTTGGCATGGTCAGGGGGAAAAAATACAAAACCTCATCTACTTTTCTTTCTTAATGGCAGATTTAAACGACTAGTTTGTCCAGAAATCCCCAATCCTGCAAAGAGCAATGTAGTCTTATGGCATGGTGACAATTTCAAAGTAAGAGGCCATATATTTATTCCTAAAATCACGCCAGCAGTCTGGGTTTCTGGGAAGGAGAGGCTGAGCAGGGTTTATATGATGAGGATCAAAGTGGGAACATCCTTGTGAGAGATCAGCTAGAATCAGCTTTTCAGATACATGCAGGCTCAAAGTTTAGAAGAAAGAAAGGGATAACATTTACTAAGTGTGTATGGTATGTCTCAGCATAAACTTGGTGCTTTGAGGAATATGATAAAATTAAAGTCCTTATGGTCCTGATTTTCTAGTTAATGAAAGAGAGAATGGAATAGGAAATAAGTGTGAGAACCTATTGGGAGCAGTTTGTAATTGAGGGTGATTTAATTGAGAGCAAACCCAGTTTATAAATATTGAGTAAATACACAGAGTTCACAGGGAGGAACCTGGGGGATGGAGCATACAAGTGGCACCACAGACTGACCCCAAACCATGCCATATGAGGATGGGTTGAAGGAACTTAGAGAGTATTGCTTAAGAAAGACAACTCTTGGATTAGGGGTGGAAGGGGTGAGAATTGATAGCTGAGAGACGGCATGGGTACAGCCTAGTGCCATGCGAAGGGAAATTGGGTTTCTAATTCAAGGGTCTGAGCTCATAATCTATTTTGTGACTTGTTACCTGTGTGAACCTAAGAGGGTTACTTTTCTCCTTTGGTCCTTAATTTTCACATCTATAAAATGATAGGATTGGATTAAATAATCTCTAAATTCCCTTTCAGTTCAAAGTTCCATTAGCCTCTGATGTTTTTAAAGAGATGTTATGTGAAAGAAGGATTAGAGGTGGGATGACCACTTGTAAGGGGGTATTTTCCAGGGATTTCTGTTCAGGTGAAGGTTGGACAAAATGATCTCCAGATTCCCCTTTAGCTCTGAGAATCTATGAGTCTGGGGCTCTGATTTGGCCCATGTGACACCAGAGGGCAGAATTAGGACCGATGGGTTGAAGTTATGGAGAGGCATACAGAGCTCAAAATAACAAAGAAACTCCTGATAACCAGAGTTGCCCAACACAGGCGTGGACTTCCTTGGGGGGATGTGGCTAGCCTGTTTCTGGGATTTATGTCTTCTCAAAGGAGTAAAAGTTGGGGAAAAACCCCCAAACCTTAAAAGAGCATCAGGTCTCCCTCCCTCATTTTGCAGATGAGGTAGCTAAGGCTCAGAGAGTTACTTGCCCAAGATTGCTTGGTAAGCAGAAATAGGATTTGAACATGGGTTTGCTGATATTTCCATTTGATCACATAGTTGTTCAAAGTAGAGGCTGAATGACCTCTGGGTGAGGAATATTGCAAATAGAGTTCTTGCGCCAGGAGAAAAAACTGGTCTAGATGACCTCTTATATCCTTCCCAGTCTTAAAATTCTAATCTAGAGCAACAATAGCTAACATTTGCACATTGCTTTAAGGCTTGCTGGGGCAGCTAGGTGGTGCCATAGTGCATAGACTGCAGGGGCTGGAATTAGAAAGACTCATCTTCCTGAGTTCAAATCTGGCCTCAAACTTTTACTAGCTGTGTGACCCATGGCAAGTCACTTAACCCTGTTTGCCTCAGTTTCCTCATCTGTAAAATGGGTTGCAGAAGGAAATGGCAAATCACTCACTTAGTTTCTTTGGACTTCAGTTCCTCATCTGTAAAATGAAAGAGTTAGACAGGATGGTTTCCAAGGGCCCGTCTAAGTTAAATCTATGATCCTATGATCTGTTAGTAAATTTGGTGCTTTGTGTCTCCATTTTCTATGTAAGACAGGGCTTAAGGAATTTTGTGAAGATAAGATAATTCCCAGAATATTTTGAGCTTTCTAGAAGAAATGACCTGTAGATGTACAATGCCTAACTTTTGGCAAACTTAGTGGAATAATATGTACCACATGACACCTACTTGTTTGCTAGAAGCATTTAGAATGGACCAGGAGTAGTTCGGGGGAAGGTGGGATGAGAAAGGAGACTGGGTCTTTTCATGTAAAAGTATTTTAGAATGTATCATTACCAAGCTCTTTGTCTCACATGGCATCCAAGTGATCTTTGGCGATGATGGTGGTGGGTGTTCTTTCTTTTGACAGTCCAAGCTGCATCTTGGAGAGGTCCAGTTCCATGGCAAGATGATGGCAGTTGATGAGAGAATTCCAAAACCATGCTTGTCTTCCTCTGGTGATTTGATTGACAAGTTAGTGGTGGACTTTGAGAATTTCCTGGACAAAGCTGAGGTTCACAGAGTAGAAATGATGAAGATGCCGGAAAACATTTTGAGTGGGGAAAATAAGGAGTACGTGAATTCTACATGTAATTTTTACAGTCCTTCAGGAAAGGTTTTCCAAGGACTTTCATCTTCAGCCTTGATTCCATTGGAAGAGACAGAAGAGCAGTGTTCAGAAAGACCAGATGAAGAAACCAAAGATAAATCCTGCCAGCGGCCAAATGCTAGTGGGATTCTAGAGCCGGAGCAGCAACCCTGGGAAGAAGTTGGATTGAATCCATATTTGAAAAATTCAGTGACAACAAGGGAATTCCTCACCTCTGAGAAATTTTCTAATCCAATTACGAAGAAGATTAAAATGCAACCATAGTCTGGGTTTGTTTTCATTTTTGTTTTTTTGGGGGAAATAACAGGGTAGAATGACCCCTAGTTAGAAGGATTGTATTTGGATGGGCAGCTAGGAGTCACAGGGGCAGAGGGCCAGGCCTAGAGTCAGGAAGACTCATCTTCCTGAGTTCAAATCTGGCCTCAGACACTTACTAGCAGTGTGATCCTGGGCAAGTCACTTAACCCTGTCTGCCTCAATTTCTTCATCTGTAAAATAAGCTGGAGAAGGAAATGGCAAACCACTCTAGTATTTTTGCCAAGAAAACCCCAAATGGGGTCATGAAAAGTCAGACACAACTGAACAACAGCAAAGTTAGAATTTGTCCACTCCTTATTAACCACAGACTTGAGTAGAGAAGTATTTGTTTATTTTTTTCCCAGTTCAGCTTGTTTATGGGTTCAACGACTAATTGCCTTTTAATACATCTGTATACATAGTTGTTCACTCAGTTGGCACTGACATATATAGTATAGTTTGTTTGGGAAGGTAGAAATATCAGGAAACTTAGATTTTTCTCTTTCCTCTGTTGTGGAACAATTCATTCCTTTGGTTTCCAGGAACTAGTCTCCTGCTTTCTCTTTAGCTAAAATCCACTAGGAATATTCATTTGCTTTTTGCATTTGTTATCATCAGCTTTGAACTGCATACCAGACCTTGCTAATTTCCCATCAGGACCAGTGATGATGATAGTAATAACACATTTATATAGTGCTTTGAGATTTAAAAAGCACATTAAAATATTACTTTACTTGATCTTTACAACAATACTGGGAGACAAATGATATTTTTCTCCCCATTTTTCAGATGAGGAAAGTGAGGAAGACAGAGTTTAGTGATTTGCCCAAAATCACATGGTTACTGAGCGTCTGAGCCTGTTTTCCAATTTATACCTTCCTGATTCCAGGTTCAATGCTCTGTCCACTGTGTCATCCTAGATGCCTTCGTGGTGATTTGGAAGTAAAATGTCTGGCAAGCGTCAGCTGTCACTGGGTTTCCTAGGAAGCCATTTGTTCCTCTGGCCTTCCTTATCACCAGTATTCCCTTAGAATATCATCTGTCTTTCCTCATCATTGGAGTGCCTATCTGCTATAGTATCTAGATACCAATCATTCTCTGAGAGTTGGAGTTTTTTTATCGAATGGAAACTGTAATTTCATTGGTGTAGGGAATTCCTGGTGAGGAAATTCTCTTTGCCTAAGACTTCTACAGTTTAAATGACTTGCTCAGAGTCACACAGCCAGGATGTGTCACAAGCAAGATACCTGATTTTCTTGACTCTTAAGGTCAGTGATCTGTCCATTTTTTTCTGTGGCAGCAGGACCAATGCAGAGAGCAGTCGATATTCTTCTCCAGCAGGGCAGGGAATACATGGCACTGGGAGGAGGCTGGACCTTGCTAACTGTTTCTCTTAGGTCCCATCCTTGTTAGTTTTGTTGCTGTTGGGTTGTTTCAGTCCTGTCCGACTCTTCGTGACCCCATTTGGGGTTTTCTTGGTAGAGATACTGGAGTGGTTTGCCATTTCCTTCTCCAGCTCATTTTACAAATGAAGAAACTGAGGCAAACAGGGTTAAGTGATTTCCCCAGGGTCATATAGCTGGTAAGCATCTTAGGTTAGATATGAACTCAGGTCATCCTGATTCTAGGCTCAGAACTCTAGTGTGCCACCTAGCTGCCCACCCTTGTTAACAGAAAAGGACAAGACAGTTCAGGGACTTTCCTTTTAGGCAATGTGGTCCCTCATCCTGATTCAGAGCCTGGTATATGTGGTTGGAAGGCATCTTTAGACTGCCTGTTTCCCAGGAATAGCCTACTTCTTTGGAACATGCTGAGAAAGAGATGCGTGTAACATTATCTTCCCTTATCCCAGCTGAAGAGGGAGATGAGTCATCCTGGCTCTAAATTTGTGAAAATACCCCAAAATAGCCTATTCAGAATTCCACTGTAGGGATTGGGAACCTACTTGGTCTAGTCATAACCCTCTCCAATATGAGCTTGCTCGTGGGCTTGGATAGAAACTTTGGGTGGGGTGGCAGAAGATCTGGATTCTATTTGGCTCTTGGCTGACCCAGGAGAGGCTCAGAAGTAAGGGAGGGGAGTCACAGTGAGGTTGCTTCTTGGAAGCTTTCTGTTCTATAGTAGAGAGTGAGCAGTCAGAAAGGCAGATGGTTTCTTTTGTAGGAAATATTTGCAAACTCAATCCTGATGTCAAATATGGATAGAGAATATGGGAAATTTCTCTGGATTACAGATCTGGTACTTTTTAACTTGAGACAGAAAGGAATGGGGTGATGGTCAGGAAGTGATTCTAACAGCGCCCATTTTTTAACCATTAAGGATTCAATTCATTTCAATTAGAAGTATACTAACACCCTAAATACAAGCAGCTAGGTGACGAGTGGGTAGAGTGTGGGGTCTGGAATCAGGAAAACCCAAGTTTGAATTCAGTCTCTTAGTAGCTGTGTGATTCTGGGTAAGTTGCATAACTTCTGTTTGTCTCAGTTTTCTCACCTGTAAAATGAGGATAATAATAGCATCTTCCTTAACAGGGTTGTTGTGAGGATTAAATGAGATAATATATATGAAGTACTTAGCACAGTGTCTGACATGTAATAGGTGCCTGACAAATGCTTACTCCCTTTCCTTCTTAAGGACTCATATTTCTTGCTTGTCCTCCCTTCTCTCTCCTTCCTCTCATCTTCTTATTCTTCCTCTTCCTTCCTGTACTCTTTTCTGTCTTTTCATTACTTGAAGTGTTAACTTTCTTTCCTTCTTTCTTTTTTCCTTCCTTCTTTCTTTCTTTCTTTTTCCCTCCCTCCTTCCTTCCTTCTCTTTCTTCTTTCTTTCCTTCCTTCCTTCCTTCCTTCCTTCCTTCCTTCCTTCCTTCCTTCCTTCCTTCCTTCCTTTCTTTCTTTCTTTCTTTCTTTCTTTCTTTCTTTCTTTCTTTCTTTCTTTCTTTCTTTCTTTCTTTCTTTCTTTCTTTCTTTCTTTCTTTCTTTCTTTCTTTCTTTCTTTCCTTCTTCTTCTTCTTTTCTTTCTTTCTTTCTTTCTTTCCTTCTTCTTCTTTTCTTTTTCTTTCTTCCTTCCTTCCTTCCTTCCTTCCTTCCTTCCTTCCTTCCTTCCTTCCTTTCTTTCTTTCTTTCTTTCTTTCTTTCTTTCTTTCTTTCTTTCTTTCTTTCTTTCTTTCTTTCTTCAAACAGTTTGGTAGGAGACTCAGGACTCCATCCTGACATTTGCCTTGGATTGGGGTCCAAGACAGCTTCTCTGGAGTGACTCCAGAGAAGTGACCGTTTCCTTCCTGTAGGGAAACCTTGAGTTTCTAAGCTTTGGAATTCCCAGAAGTCCCTGAATGAAACAAAACACACACGTCCCAAGGGGCAGCCTGGGCTAGTGGTGAACTAGAAGATACACAGACCTGCCTGCCACCATGTTGACAATGGTCACATGATCAAAAGGCCAGCTAGAGCTTAAGGTTCTACTGCATGTTATCTGTGTTTTCTCTATATTTGACATCTTTGACTTTCTAGGAGTTGTGGCTTTTGAGTCTCAGGGGCCAAGAAGCTCAGTGGAATCAGAGTTGATCCTTCAATGCACTTTATCAGTTAGGTGTTGAAAATACAGTTACTACTTGTAGGTTGTTATTTACAAGTTGACATAAATAATTTTAAGTAACTGACTCATAAGCACATGTATTGTTTATCAGTATAAATAGCGATTATCGACAAGCATTTATCAAGCACTTAGGTGCCAGTTCCTATGGTAATCTTTGCTCTCAAGGAACTCATATTCTAATGAAGAGGCAGTAGATGCCCAACATATCTCTATCTATCTCTACAGCTACCATCTCTAGCTATACAAATATTTGCATGTACAGATTTATGTAAATAAGTGCAGAGAAAATGCATGAAAAGTATGGCATCCTTGGAAGGCTAGGCTGTGAGTTCTGGGGGAAGAGGAAAGGCCTCATGCAGAAAGTTGTGCTGGAATTGAGCCAGGGAAGCAGGGAGGAGGTAAAAAGACCCAAAAAGGAGAAATGGAGTATCGTGTGTGAGGAATAGAAAGTAGACCAATATGGTTGAATCACAGAATAAAAGGAAGAGAGCACAGGAAAACTAGAAAGGTAGGGAGAAACTAAATTATAAAGAGCTTTAAATGCTAAATAAAGGACTTTGGTTACCCTAGAGGTAATAAAAAGCCCTTAGAGTTTATTGAATAGATAGGTGACATAATTAGAACTATACTTAAAGAAAATCACTTTGGCAGCTGTGTGGAGGATAGTTTAGAGTAGGGAAAGACTTGAGATAGGGAAACGAATGAGGAAGCTATTGTAATAATCTAGGCAAGAAGCGATGAGGACTTGAACTATGGTGATGGATGGAGATGGAAGGTGTTGTGGGGAGTAGAAATGTCAAGATTTGGCAGCTGATTGAATATGTGGGATGAGTGGAGGATAATATTGAGATTGTGAACATGAGTGACTGGAAAGATGGTAGTATGCTCAACAGAAATAAGGAACTTTGGGAGATGTGTGGATTGTGAGGAAAAATAATGAGTTCAGTTTTGGAAACAATGAGTTTGTGAGATGTCAATGGGACTTCTAGTTAGAAATGTTCAATAGACAGTTGGTGATATGGGCCTAGAACTCAGGAGAGAGGCTAAGGATGGATATGGAGATCTGGAAATCACTCCATTGAACCCATGGAAGCTGATGAGATAAGCAAGTAACAGAGTATACAGAAAAAAAACGATTCCCAAGAAAGAGAAATATCCTATAAGTAGAGAAGCAATCTGGCATAGTGGAAAGAGTGTTGGACTAGGAGTGATAATATTTGGGCTTTAGACCTGGTTCTACCCAACTCATTATAGATGTCCTTGGCAGGGGCATGCTAAAGCTAGCTCATACCAGCTCTTGAGAGCCTATTGTTAAAATCTGAGTGTTTATACTTTGGAAATTGGTAAATGCTACAAACCAGGGTTTGATTTATTGTT